TGCATCTGGAACTCAGAACTCAAAAAACATCCATATTGCACCAACGAAGACTGTGCGTCGTGAGAATTCATGTGCCCAGGTCTAGGAACGCTCATGATTGTACGCCCTCACGGTTGTCGCCGCGGCCACTTACCCATGCCGCCCATCATGTCTCTCAATTACTCCATCCATGCGTGACTCGGCCTTCAGCTCACCTATCCATATTTCTGTCTCAATCTATTAGCCGCTACCACACAGCCCAGGGCCATGCATATCGCTTTGGGACTAATCATCCAAAAAGGCTGGCGATAACATTTGCTGTCTCCTTCTACAGAGCCGCGTGCACGCTCTCTAGTCTCAGAAAAGGACGTCCGGTAACTCGGGAAGTTAGCAGCTTTCAAGTATTGATTCTAAAAACTCCGATATCACAGGATTGCATTAAAAGTTATGCTGCCGACCGAGTTTGCAGGTTCATATATTATCTGATGGCGCCACTAGACTGGAGCTGCGGAATACATTGGTCCTCCGAACGCCGTAGCATGAATTCCAACAGGAAATCGAACATTTTCGGGATGTTTATCGAGAATTTTGAGTGTAGTTGTGCTACCAAAAAGGGAATTTATTCTAAGCTATGGCTCTGCGAACTAAACGCAGGTCGATAGTACCCAGTAAGCTAATTTGACGACGGTTTGAAGACCATGTTTCCGCATTGTCAGTGAACTTCGCCATCTTCCGTGAAATAATCGATGTTATACCTTACGCCCTGGATCCCATATATAACTTCTGTTACTGGTTCACAAGTACTTATTCTTCAGACCCGAGGACTGGTGTAATCCAAATGTTACCTTCACAGAATGCCGTCAACCTATCTGCCAGTCATGGACGCGGATAGAACCCGCGTCTAGGCTATTGGATAACGCTATTTTTGGGGAGTGCTTTGACTCCCGCTACTGATGAGATACCCGACCCATAACCATAATGTTGGAAATAAGCAAACCTTCAACTAATTAGACCAGCTAAACTTATGAAAAAAAAGTACATGAATAGTGGACAGTCCCAGAAGCGAGACCTGGATAATAGTAGCAAAGGTTTAAGCTCATACGCCCGGGGCCTAATCCAACATCTCGATAGATAAAATATCCTAATACTACGAACAAGTGGATGCCGAAGGGCGCCCGTGTATCCTGGGTGCGAACCACAATCCAGTAAAAAATAACAAATAAAAGGCCAGAGTTTGTACTGAGTCCAAGCTAAACAACATGTTAAAAGGTTGTGCTTCTTCATTAGCACCTACAGTGTCGCAATGAATCTTCATCTAGTGGTACTTTGCATGACGTTCTGTGCGATGGGTTGAAAAGTTGTTGAAATATTGGAAAATAGCTACGAAGGAACAGATTTGAAAGAATGGAACCATCGTAGCCCTACGAGGGTAAAACCATTTAAGCCTGTAACGCCAAGTAAAGCGAGCAAATGCTTTAATCCAGTCAGCGGGGTTGCGCGACCGACTCTTAATCCATGCCGGAAGTTCAGCAAGCTTCAGTTCACCAACTGGTGTCTCCTTCTTCCCATAATTGTAGCCGGGGAAATAAGCACCGTGCACGCGGACGTTGTACTCTTTCGGGAGCAGACCAAATTCCGGTGTTTTCATTTCCAAGTCGGCTAATAGATTGGAACCGAAAGAAAATGACCAACCTCGAAACCAAGAGTCGCCCGCTGCCACCTAAACACTAACTGCCACATGTTTTATCATACGAGTAAACGAATGTGATTTATCCAGAATTTTGAAAATCTTTAATTATTATTTCTTTGCTGTTGGCATCTACGCGATATGAAGCACAATGTAGACATTCAGTCGTAGAGGAGATAAACCAAGGAGTTTTCTTAAGAAAATGAAAGCTCGTAGACAGAAACCAACAGAAATTACAATTCAGAAGAAGATGCGATCACTGGGACATGGCACAAACTATCAGTGTTCAGTACTTATGGGACGTAGTTGCCGTGCCGTCACGTGCCTGATCCTGTGATGCACAGTAGGAAGTAAGAAGTCAGTAAGAAGACCTTAATGAAATCAGTCATTTTATTGAGATTGAGCTGGGGAAAGTAATGACGTACAAACGGTGCGGGGTAGTAGCAAAACCTCCGAGCATAGGAGCCCCTGGAAAAACACGGCTCACCGGAAATGCGGCAGTTGCCCCAATTAGGCCTCGTCTTCGGCACTATCGTCACCGATTGGCTTCTCGTTATCCACAAGGACAGTCAGATAAGGCAGAGTGAGTACAGGAAGGGAATGTCAAATAATAATTTATGTTACACTGTCCCCTTCCATATAACCGATGTCTCAGGGGTACGACGTTCACAGTGTGAGCCGTCGATCGGAATGCCAAATCCACCGTCCGGGGGTATTTCCACGATACGGAATCCCAGAGGGAACGAAGAACGAATCAAGGAAGCAGGGTACGCGGCGAGGAAATCTAAACGGGGGTCTATGGGTGGCGAAGGAGATACAGCAGGTGGGAAGAAAGAGGAGATAGACCGATAAAGGGACTTGAGGGCT